GATACCCGCCAGGTCCGCTCCCCCCTCGTGAATAAGTTCTTGAATGAGGGGGGCCTTATTTACCACAGACCTGGCGTTGCATAACATCAGCCGGTGGACCCGGGCCGGAGGATCTAAGGTCCCTGGAGGTCGAGCAGAGCTCTGAGGATCGGAGCACCCACAAGCTTGTAAGTAGCGTGTGCGTGCTCCCAAAACCCGAAATGGTCCTCTGCTCCCGCCATACCTGCCCCTCCCACTGACCGTACCTATCACACCACCCTCCGCCAGCCCCCCAGTCTCCTCCCTTACCACTCCACGCCCCCCAGACAGGACCGGCCTTGGCCTCCGAGAGGACTCCCCTGGTTCCCCTCGGGCCAACCCCGAACCCCCTAAAAATTTAGAAAAACACCCCTCTAAGAAGGCATATAGTTTCTTCCTTCTTAGATCCCTCCATACTGCTGCTGAATGCCACCTCTCGGGGTTCCAAACCCCTTCATTAAGGCCGGCCCTCGGAATCGTGTTGGGCCATACCTGCGCGATGGGGGAGTCGCGCAGGGCCAGCAGTTCCCTCCTGGAATACAGTCCCGAGTCGTAACAGGAGGTCCAACAGCAGAGGTCCAACAGCAGAGTTGGCCTCCCCATGCAAAACAGGAGTCTATTATATAAGGCAAGAATGAGAAAAAGGTGCAAAAGTCTTTGACTGTCACTTCTATCTTCTGTGTAGCCCTCTCTAGAATTGTGGGCTATGGTTTCCTAACTTTCTTCACTACTTATTAGGAATCTTGAATTCTTGTGAGTTCATTTCATTGGTTTAGCTCTGCTGGGTAAAACTGACAGGGGGGATGGAGAGGATTCATGTAACATTGCCACAGAGCGAATGTTTCCTTTGAAAAGGAAATAATAGCTGATCACATCCTAGTTCAATGTTCATTTTATACAAGGTATTGAAATGATTTAATGCAATTAACTTCATGCAAATGACTTAATGTCAGTGCTGAAAATGTATTGCTACATATCCAAATAAGTCAGAGACAGTAAGCATAAAGTAAATGATCAAATTTTATATGTATCAATGGAGTCAGATACTGAACTAATCTACTTAACTAAAGTTAACATTACATCACAAACATTTGTGCCTTTTCGGTGCACATAGCTTCTCACTTTGACAATAAAATTAGCTAATAATAATACAGCTTTGTTTAAACCCATTATCCAGCTGTAATCTGCACAAGAGTCCTGTGTGCTAAGTCATACAAGGTGGTGCCTTCCAGAAAAACTAAGATTGTCTCTTCTAGAATTTCAAAGGAAGTCTAGCCATGTTAGCCAGAAATGTTGGGACTTGTAATGCAAACATATTTAAAGCATAGCACATTGGGAAAAACTGCATTGTTACACAAAAAGAAGTCTCCACTATGTGTTTTAATACTAAATCTAACAACATCAGAAATAAATATATTGGAAAAATAGATAAAATTCTGAGATACCATTAGTTATTTTAATATCATCTCAAAAATGTTTGCAATATACAATAAGGATAGAACCTACATCTGAAACAAATATATTCTGACAACATATGCATATATATTAGATAACAGTATCTCTTTCTATATATATCTTATTAATATACTGTATATTTAGTTTAGATTCAGGGATATAACTACAATAGATATAATAGGAATGCCTAAGTTCAAAAATACAGTTTTCTAATCTTACTGCTCACAAAAGTTAGAATTAAACTTATTCCTGGTATTCTCCAGGAATAAGAATTTTATCTACGAATGGAATGGCATACAAATAAAGACTCTCATCAAACCAAAGACATTTTACTTGATGACTTGATTAATTAATTGATTACATCTGCATAAATTTTGCATATGATTTGCACTCTAATACCATAGAGTGAGGTTGTCCAGGTGTGAAAAGACTGATTAACTTTGCTATTGTTGTAAGCTTGAAGCAGCCTTTTGAAGCTACTTCACAAGGGCACACAGCCCACTTATAAATAGTAAATTTAGGCCACCAAATAGCTTCACTTTCTGTTGCATCTCAGATCCCCCATGGCTCACTTATTAGCCTGGTACTGGGCATGCAGGAAATTCAGAAGTGATGCATAGTGCATCAGTGGCGAATGCTTTCATTTCTATGACACAAAATCTTACCTCAAAGCCAAGTGTGATTACTTGGCCCAGCCTACTATGTGTATCTATTCAAAACTAAGTCTTCTTGAGTTCAGTAGGATTGTCTCGAAGGTATAGCAGCTATCCCCAATCAAACACTGTTTTGGCAAATTCTCATTTCAGTTTCATTGTAAAGAATACAGAATCGGGTGACACACACATATATAATGAATATGATTTCTCAGAATATTCTTGAATTTTGTTAACAAGTTTTCATCATGAGAACCTTACCATAGAAAAGAAGATTCAAATAAATCTTTTATCCTAAGACTTCAATTCTTGGAAAAATCACATGAAGAGTTTATTTTCCTGCTGACTTCCCAAACTGTTCTTATTGTAATTTTGCAGTTTGCTGGTGAACACAGTTGCTGTTGCTCTTTATTGTAAAGTTGGAATACAAAGCACAGCTTTGCTATTAAGTTGTTACATTCTTGATTTAGAAAGTCTTTCTTGAAAGCCATCTATAATTAAACAACAAAAGTATATAAACCGTCAAAAGTATAAATGGACTGACATTCTCAATTGCTTTAATTTCTCATTATTATTATTTTTAAATGCATGTATGGGCTTACCTTACAAAACCTGTGGCAGCACTGCATAGTAATTAGAGTAATTATTTCTTTTTTATTATTAATTTCAATAGTAATATATCATATAGTTTGGTCTAGTGATTAAGGCATCAGGCTAGAAACTAGCAGTTCTAGTCCCAGTTTAGGCATAAAAGCCGGCTGGCTGATTTTGGGCCAGTCACTCTCTCAGACCAACTTACCTAACAGGGTTGTGGTTGTGGTAAAAATACGAGAATGAAGAAGTATTAGGTTTGTTTGCTGCCTTTATTTATAAAAATAATAAAGGTGGAGTAAAAATGGGCATTACACATAATTGAAAATTGTGTTTTAATTTCTAAAAGCCCTTATAATTATAGTTGAAATTGTGAATCTAAAAGCAAAATATATATGCATAAAAATTAGCACTATCAGCTTAGTTAATATTAGAAATTATTAGAAAGTTTTTTTAAAAAGCACTATAATGTGTGCCTTTATATATCATATGCAATAGTTAACAGTGCATGGAATCAACTACTGCCTAATTTCAGATAATGCTTATTGTTTTAGACAACATAGGCAGCTAGTACAAGCCTTCCTATCAACATCGTCATTATGAAATCATAGAAAAAATAATGTGAAGTATATAACTTGCATGAGTTGCATTATGGCAGTGGTGGCGAACCTATGGCACGGGTGCCAGAGGCAGCACTCAGAGCCCTCTCTGTGGGCACGCGCGCCGTCGCCCCAGTCCTAGACCTTCAGCTGGGTTTTATACAACCTTTTCACTTTAGGCCTCCGCCGCTGTGTACAAAAAAAAAGGTTCAATTAATCAGTCAATTTCAACTTCTCGCGGGAAAAAAAAGATCTTGCAAAGTTGGAATTGATTGATTGAACTTTTTAGTCCCAGCCAGTCTGCTGTTACCACCACAGCCACGCCCACCCAATGGGCCACACCCACCCAATGCACCACACCCACCCAATGGGCCACATCCACCCGGCACCCGACGATGCATAAGTGGGTTTTGGGTTGCAGTTTGGGCACTCGGTCTCTAAAAGGTTTGCCATCACTGCATTATGGCATGGACACAAATAACATGATTTGCATTATTTTCACAAATGTCACAAAACACATGACATTATTTGTTCTACTTTCCCTTACAACAGGGAGGAGATGGTTTTGTGTGTGCATATGCCGCTTGCTCAAATGGAGCTTCCCGTGCTCGCTTGCTGGGCTGTGGACTGGGGGTTGGGGACCCCTGTTATACACAGCAGAATAAACAAGTCAGAAATAGATATTTTAGTCACTGAATTATTTAGAATATTGTAAGAAAGATTGAGGACAATAGAAGAAGGGGACGACAAAGAATGAGGTGGCTGGATGGAGTCACTGAAGCAGTAGGCGTGAGCTTAAATGGACTCCAGAAGATGGTAGAGGACAGGAAGGCCTGGAGGAACCTTGTCCATGGGGTCACAATGGGTCGGACATGACTTTGCAACTAACAACAACAAGAAGAAGTTGGAAAATGGGAGAATATGTGTGTCTGTAAGTAAGGCAGATCAACATCTGGTAAGTGATAAACTAATTTCTTGTATTAAACTGAATTCAATTAAAGAAAGAATTAGTTGAAAATAAGACAGAGCACTCACCTATGACATATGATTCTGCTGTGCATTTTGCTGCTGCTGCTGTTGCTGCTGAATTAGCAACTGTTGCTGTTGTCTGCGCCGAGCTGTCCTCAGTTTTTCAAACCGAGCTTCCATCTCATCTAAAACTTTGGGAGTGTAACGTACCACCAACTTCACACTGTCCTTAGCAGCCTTCAGAAGTTCCACTGCTTTCTCATGATGTTCTCCTTCCACACTCTGGTTGCGGAATGTTTAAAAATAGCAAAAAGCAAGAGGCTTTCAGCTTTAGAACTATGAGTAAGAAAGAAAAAACTACACCGTGGGTGAATCTGGTCCCACTAGGCCTCCCCCACTATGGCTTTGGAGTCTGTAGTTAGGCCTGTTCCATTGTCTAACATTTCAGACCCCAACAAAGTAGCTACTGTAAGATGTATCTCTATTACTCTCTTGCTTTTCTAGTGGAAAAGGAACAAGGCAAAACCAACTGAGCTGGAACTGTATCATCAAAATTCTCCAAGTAGAAAAAATGTGTGATATGTTTATTTGCAGGATCCAATATGAGCTGGTCACCAGGGCCAGCGCTTTTGTCTTCTGAGCTTTTGGACTTGTGCTGGAGCCCATCTTCAGGAAACTTCTCTCTAGCAGAGTATATGCTTTGGGCTGTTCTCTGTGTGGTATTTATATGGTGCCTGTTGTATGTGGCTTTTTAGATATTGATTGGGATGTTGATGGTTGGCTATTAAGTCATTGGCTGTTGTTTGCTTCTGCTGTCAAGCCCTCACCTCCCAAGTACAGATTGGATCCTGCAACATTATCCTGGGACATATATATTCACCTTCATTCATGATATATTGATTTATTTATCCTATTTATATGGCCATCTCTCTAGCCAATAAAATCTAAGTAACAAACAAAATAAAAACAAAATTTTATTAAAGCAAAAAGTCAGCTAAAACTGCATTGAAGCTCAGTAAAGCCACACCATTAAACTCTACTACTACTACTGCTGCTTCTACATTTGTGTTGGAAGCGCCTACTAAGGTGCTTCCAGGTTGAAAGAATTAGCTAGTGAAATCACTGTTGCCCAGAGAATGCCCAAGGGGGCTACTTTCATGTCCCTTCTATTTTCTAACCAAAATGGTGCCTATTTATCTACTTGCATTTGAATGCTTTTGAACTGCTAGGTGGGCAGGAACTAGGGCAAATTGATGGGAGCTCATTCCATCATGCGGCTCACTCCCAGGTTTCAAACTGTGGAGCTGTCCACCTCTCAGTGGTCTTTTGACTCAGTGTCCTAACCAAAGAGCCACCATGGCCCCAAATAAACATGACACATTCATGCCAAAGCTCCCCCATTAACAACCCAACTCCAATGCTTGGGAAGGAGCCAGGCTTTCACAGCTTTCCAAAAAGGACACTATTCCGTAGGACAAGTGCCATAAAAAAGAAGGTGCAAAAAGACAATGCTTTGCAATGCCACCTAAAGCATGCTCACTCTGGGGTAGGCATAAACCACTAGGAAAAGATGGTCCCAGAAGTAGCAAAGTGAAATGTTATGTAAAGCTTTAAAGGTGACAACCAACACCTAGCACTGTATCTTTGAGCATCATCTGGGTTTCTTTGCCTTTTAGAATGGAAATGATGTGAAGGCAGTTCAGTTGTCAATTTGCGATAATGTTCAAAGCATTGGCATAGGTATATAGATACAAAAGCTCCATGTGTGTAAATAAATCAATATGTGCAGTTAAAGCTAGCATCAAGCATTTATATCATCAGGGACTTGTCATGACCAAAGTCTTTAAGTTTGATGCTTCCTATCTCTCAACATCAATGAACTGAGCCTGGGTGAAACTCAGACCATTTGAATTCCAGTACTTGTAAAATCTTTTGTGTACAGACGTTGCTTGTTCAGGATCAATGCATTGTTGTGAAAAGGGTAGGGGACGGAGGTGTTTAATATTAGTAACAGGGCCAATAGCCATGCTTTACTTTCTGTATGTAAAACATTCTTCTTATATACAATGGATAAATAAGATGACAGTCTCTTAATTTTGCAATACCTTCTGTATTGAAAATAAAAACTCATTTCAACTAAACCATAAATAAAACCATATATTAATATACGCTAGCTTGGCAATTGTATATTGGAACCTCCCTCTGGATTGCTTGTTGAATAACAGTCACTTGCAAACTAAGATGTCACAGGGAGACTAAAAAAATTCTACAAAGGTTTCTGAATGTGGTTAATTTTAAACAACAAATTTGCGTCCATTTATTCTTTTCTATATGCGCTAGAATTACCAGGTCTGGGTTGCAAATTCTGGATATTACTAGAGGACAGCAAAAATACTGCAGTAGTCATCCAGATTTTTTTTTTCACTCTGAGGCTGTTTAAATAAGCAGAATTAATAAAACCAGAATGTGTTCACATACCACTCCATTAACAGAAAGCAGCTGGTCTCCCCGTTTGAGTCCTCCATGCTTCTCAGCTACTCCTCCAGGAATTATGCGAGAAATATAAATAGGAGAATTTTGTTCTTTTCCTCCCATTACGTTAAAGCCAAGGCCTTCATCCGTCTTTGGCAGTTCTACCACTCGGGGGTGAGAATGCCCTTCACTAGCTGCAAATGCAGCAACGGTTGCCTAGAAAAAAATGCAATTTTTAATATATTATGAACACAGTTAGGAGCTTTTCTGCTTATTTGTTTCAAATATTTATTCACAAGAACAATGCTTTAAAATTTGATTTTTTAATTGCTTCATTTAAAACAACAACAACAACAACAACAACATAAAATGTAATGTTGCCCTGCCCAAGACATCTGTGTACAGTTATATCCCAGTGGTGTTATTCTGAGGATTGGAATGCTTAAATCTCAAGGTCTCAGTTCCATGTACAGTATAAGCTGGAACTCCTGCATATGTGGTTATTCACAATTATATCAATGCAATTCATATCACACAATGGCTCTATGTTCTATATGTTCACGAATTTTTTGAAAGGGGAACTCAATGGTAAACATTAGATTATTTGTACCTGTACCATTTGTACAGTGAAATGGAAATAATTCTATGTTCTCTAGCAGATGATCCCCAGTTCAGTCTAGATATTAGTATTAGTACTTGCAACACAAATTTCCCTTTCCGAAAAGGGAATGGTATGATTAGTATGTATATATTTGAACACACTTCCCTTCAATATAAGCAGATTTCAAAAGATGCTCTCTCTCTCTCTCTCTCTCTCTCTCTCTCTCTCTCTCTCTCTCTCTCTATATATATATATATATATATATATATATATATATATATATATATATATATATATATATATATATATATATATTACTTTTTATTGAACACTTGGTTAAACAGAATGATGAGATGCAAATCAAAGCAATTCTTAAGGCATACTAGAATCCTTTATATAGCAGTGGAACATGCAATGGTCTTATAAAGTTTAATAATCTTTTAAAATATGAAAGGTTTGTACATATAACCAATATAATATTAAAGGTTTCTTAAATTTTAACAGTAGCTTAAAGGATCAGTAGAATCTCAAGCTGAATAGGGTTTTTTTAAATTTAATTTTAGGGAGGGAAGTACAATTAAAAAAAAACAAATTTAAATTGGGAAAATAGCAACTTTTTATCAGAGTGCACTACATACGGTATTTGAGCACTTATTTGACTTATTGAAACATAAAACAGAATATATTCAATTAACTCTTTCATTGATTTAAACAGGAAAGAGCATGTATAGTGAACTATATGGGACTAGGCAATAGGGTGTAGAGATAGGCTCTGATCCAATTTGAACAATTAATTGAATTTGATTTGATGATTTGAAAGACAAATTGGTTCAGTTCAAATTTCTGTATTGACCTGAATATGTTTTCAGAACCAAATTGATAAGAAGACATCACATTTTATGATTTAGTTCAAATCATAAAAAAGTTCATTTGATTCTGAGAATTGATAAAGTTGCCTTCAAATCATATGTGCATATAATCCCACTTAATGGTGGTTAATTTCAGCTGGATCATTTCCATGAGTCTTAAATCTCCTAGAGTAAAAGAATAGCTAAATTTCATTAGGATCGTATTTTAATGGATGGATTTTGATAGCATGAATGTACTCTCTGTTACATATACAGTATATATTATCATGCAAAATTTGTCATCATGCATGCCAGACATAAATGCATAAGAAAAATATAATGCAGACAGCCCAGAAATAACCAGGAAATACTGTAATATTGAAACATTGCTGTCCAATCCTCTGTTCCATATGAATAAGAAATGAGAATGACAGACTTTCATGAGAGTTTTAGGTATACCATATAATGACAATTTTTAACTTCACTATATAATATAAAGTTAAACAATCTAAAAACATCTTTCTAGACTCAAGTAGATTAAAACTTAAATATCTGTAGCATTTATATTAGGTCAACCTCAATTCCCTCTAGAATAAAAGAAATCTACCAATAAGCAAATGAAAGAATATTACTTAATATCTTAATTATCTTCAATATATGTAATATTAAATATACTATATAGCTTCAGTAATTTTCCTCCATAGCTTATCTCAATTTAAAATTAATATAATTCTGTTGCTGGCTATAGTGTGAAGAGTCACATTTATTATTCTGGCTTGCAAAGAACGGTTGTTCTCTAGTATGTATTAAGTTACTAAGGTTGCATTTTATACTCATTCCCCCCCCCACACACACACACAGACCCTATTTGAAATTCATTTAAGTTTCATCAATAGGAAACAAAGGAATTGTTTTCTTGAGAGATACCTACTTTGTTACTAATTTTTATTTCTGTACAATGCAAACTAAATTTCAGATGTATTTCATAGAGTAGTATTTCTTTTGATGCAGAGAGCTTACACTGATTTATAACGACCTTTACAGCATTTGATCCTAACATCAGTTTTTCAGGAGTTTCTGCTGCTTTTTTGATGAGGAAATACATGCTAAGAATTTCTGAACCTGGGAGCCTTATATTTTTGGCCACACTACATAAGTTGAATCTATTAGAAAAATTAGCCATAAGAGCTAATGGTCAGTATTTAATTACAATTAAATAGAAGCTTTGATTGGAAGGTGACTCCAATCCACTCCATCCCCTCACCCAGCCCCAATAAGCCTCTTGGCCACATACAACATTCTCTTTTCTTAAACTACAGGAGTAGCACAAAGGTTGAACTTGCCGATATGATTGTTACCTGGGAAGTAGCACTGGTTCTAGACTCTGGGCTGCCACTGATGTCTAAATGTTCTTATAGTGTACACACGAAAACCTGAAACATACACGCGCACAGTCAATTACTGGGCCATGTGGAGAATAGACCTCCTTAAACTACAAGTGTCTTACCTTGGCAGTAGCCCTGGCACGAAATTCGGGACAGCCACTAACATTTATGGTTTCATGCATGTATTGATATACCTGAAGGTATACAAAGAGAATGATAAAAAGAAAATTAATAATCTGTGTGATCTCCACAGGTCAAAACATGTAGTGCTTCTTTTATCAATCTTTAATGTTGTTGAAGTTTCTCACTGCACTGAGCATACCTACCTCCAAGGACCTTTCTGAATCTTTGGCTAATAATTTATTTATTTACCAGATTTATACCCCGCATATGTCACCTAGGTCTGGGCAGTATTTCTCCTGTCCTAGATGTCTACACTTAAGATGTGGAAGAATGTCAATTTTCTAAATATTCAAACACTATTTAATTTAGGGAGGAAATACCTTCAAAAGTGAACTTTGCTGCAATGGCTGTGTGAAATGTGCCTAATTAACTCAATGAAGCACATTTGGTTCTGTCTTTCATTTCCCTTCATTTCTTATGCCATTCTGGAAACAATCATTTTAGCAACTGGGAAATGTTTGGCTTAGAGTGATGACCATGTCTCTTACTTTGCAAGGTCCATTAAATTGAAAGGCTAATTAGAAAGCAATTAGCGGTAGCTTTTATGTGGCATCACCCTTTGTTTCCAGGGTTCTCCAATCCAAATCCATATATGAAAGGGAGAACAAAGCCCATGGATAGTATAATATAATAAAAGGTAATTATCATCATCATTTTGATAATAAATATTATTTCTGGTAGTTATTTGTATTGTATAAAACCATGGTTGCAAATTTTATGCCCACATTTTTCCTCTAACTTGAGGCTACATTTTTCTCTTTTGGAGATATACAATTATTCACTCATTTTGGATGCTCATATTTTGATTTATCTGCCAAGCTCAAAAAGAGAATAACTTTTTTTTTTACAAGAGATTTGTTATCTGAATTCTGCATTCAGCAATGGCATTGGATAGAAAGCAAGTCAAATAAAGACATTTGAAAATATTTCAACTATATCAAAGGCATGTAAATTGTCATTATCAGTTCTAATGCCATGCAGAATACACAGAATAAACAGTCACAGAATATTTTTAATGCATGCACTATCTGGATCAAAATTTCCCCCATACAGAAAAATTACAATTTCCCATGGCCCAACACTAAAGATAAATCTGTGAATCCATAAAGGAAACAATGTTGTTTCAGTGAAGGATAATGAAGCAGTGTACAAATTATAACCTTATGGAATATAATTGGCTTTTGACAGAGCCCTAAAATTCATCGGCCAGAGAAATGTGTAAAATGGTGGCTCCAAAATGTTGAATACAAACTGAAGACTCAGTGCCAGGTTTTCAATGAGAAGATATCATACAAATCTTTTCACAAACAAATCTCTGAATATTTCTTCCTTAAAATGTCCTTCATTTCCAAACATAATTTAGAGAGAGAGAGAGAGAGGGAAAAAAGAGGTGTTTTTGTTACTGCTAAGAGATGAGATTTACCAGTTTGTTCAAATCTAATGTCTGCCTATTTTTTGCTATTATGTGACAAAGCAAGTTATCATAATGTTTCTATTTCTATGAATTGAATTAATGCATGCTGCAAACTATCATATTTGAAATTGTCATCTTGTAGCTGTAATCAAATGTTAAATAATTAATTTATTCTTAATAATTTCTGGTTTAATTTAATATACCATAACTTAGTCATATGATACATAATGATTGCATTAACTTGAATGTTTGCTTCAAGTAAAAAAAACATGCTGGTGTTCAGATAATTAGGAAGCCATCAACTAATTTTCAAAACATTTCAAAGTCTGCTTTATTATTCCTCAGTGAAATAGAATAGTAGGTTTGCTTTAGTCCTATAACAGAAAATGAGCCAGATATTTCATACGGCAAACAGTGAGAGCTGGTATGGCAGATACTGTTCTTGTCTCATAGACTTCCCTATGCTATACAGATAATCCTCGACTTACAATAGTTCATTTAGTGACTGTTTGAAGTTACAACGGCACTGAAAAAGTGACTTCTGACCACTTTTCATACTTATGACCGTTGCAGCATCTCCTATTGTCATGTGATTTACATTAGGATGCTTGACAAATTGTTCATATTTATGATGGTCGAAGTGTCCCAGGGTCATGTGATGCCTTTTTGCAACCTTCTGACAAGCAAAGTCAATGGGGAAGCCAGATTCATTTAACAACCGTGTTACTAACTTAACAACTGCAATGGTTTACTTAACAAATATGGCAAGAAAAGTCATAAAATGGGCAAACTCACTTAACAATTTTCTCACTTAGCAACATAAATTTTGGGTTCAATTGTGGTCGTAAGTTGAGGAATACCTGTATGTTCATTTGTGGTATTTAAATTCATTGAAGAATATTATTTTAACAATTCTGAAGAAAAAATCAAATGCCAGGCCAGTTGCCTTCTGTAGGTTAAAAATGAAAAGCCACAATTTTATGCTTTGCTTCAAGCAGCAAAATGTATTGAACCATCCTTAAATGTAGGCAAAGTGTCTAGGGAGATTCTCAGTCATCCAAATCATGCTTGTCCCAAAGGTGCTTTTTCAAACGGCAACTGGAGTTTCTTTGTTTTCCTTGAAGACATTTCGCTTCTCATCCAAGAAGCTTCTGAGGTTCTGAACTGAAGAAGCTTCTTGGATGAGAAGCAAAACATCTTCAAGGAAAACAAAGAAACTCCAGTTGCCTTTTGAAAAAAGCACCTTTGGGACAACCAAGTCAAAGGAACAGTATTCTTATAGTGAAACAGCTAGTATGTAATCCTGTATTCAAAAGATAGCCATACATACTTTGGATCATTTTGAAAAGTTGTTGGAAGATGAACACCTTGTAGCTTGTTCTATCCTTACCCAAAAAAGAGAACAAAAACAATATTTCTGAGTTGAATTCACTGCATTTTTTTGAACAGTTGTTATAATGAAGAGTGTAGGAAATAGAACAACTTGCTTTGAGGCATAGAGATGCATTAAAGTAAGGAAATGCATAATTATTAAAGCTGTGAACCTCAGGAAAATTAAAGTGATTAATCATAGGCACTTTAACAAACTAATGAAACATTACATAATATCTACAAAATAATGACATAATTTCAAAGACCATAAACTCCTTAGTTAGTTCCTTAAGGGCTAATCTGGAGACTTTTGTGATATATACTGGTAAGATATGCTCAAGCAGGAATCTGACACACCAATAATTTATTTATTTATTTATTATTTATTACTTTAATTTATACCCCGCCCTTCTCCCGAAGTACTCAGGGCGGCTTACAGGCAATAAAAACGGAACTATACAATAAATATCTAAAAACAATTAAAATATATATTAAATAAGCCTGTTATTTTTAGAAAAGTTATAAAATCCCTATTAAAATCCCTATACAATCCCCCCCCTAGGCCAATCCCGCTTGATGGAAAAGCCATGTCTTGAGGGCACGGCGGAAGGAGGGGAGAT